CTTATACACATTTGATATATGCACTGATTCCGGTAGGTAACTGAATGATCGACGGTTATATCACAGATGAGGTACAGAAGTATATACCTGTAATACCTGTGCTATCACCTTATGGGACTTCGTGTCACACGTACTGAAATACCGACACAGAAAAAAATCACTGGTTTTCTTGCGCCCTCTACGATTTAACGTGGTGGTTTTGAGAATTGTATTCAGTCTAGCCACCAAAGTCGATAATGCTAGCAATTCTGAAAAAGATCCGCTTTATGAGACTTCTAACAGAAAATCTCTCGCATCCTGTAACTGGCTGGCTATTGGTGGCTATATATCTCTAGTAATATAGCATAGACAGTGACAAATTATTCACTACTTAAAATTTGCGTTTATAAGTGCTTGGTTTCATTTTAACAAAAATGATACTGACAGATTGTTAAAAATTTCATGCTGAAAGTAAGTCTAAATACAATATCATTCAAATTGTTTTTAATTATGCATAATATGTTATGATATTATTACTACATTGTTTATAAGTTTTACTGTATTTAAACGATATATACTCAAAATGACGTTATATCTAGATTTATTTTAATCTAGACTGAGGAAACCTCAATCATCCATTACTAACATTGTTATACATATATAATGAAAAATAGATGCTTGAAATTATAATTAAAAAAAGTACGTTCGACATGTGTGACAGTTATCTCGCTATCTGGCGCTAAAAGAGAAACAGGAGAACCTCACTTTTTAGAGTAGTTTCACAGCAATGATTTTTGGACAGTTGTTCTGCTGCGCATTTGCAGTTTTTTTTTTACTACTGTGACTTCTGGAATGAATACAATCTTTTGTAGCGATATTCTTTTTCCTAGCGTTTTTTTTTTATTTTTGTAGCATCAGATATTTTCTAATTTACTGTAGCAAAAGCGCTCAAGTTTGAACAGCGATGCTCTACAGAATTTGGTGCGGCAGCCAAAATACAAAAACTGATGGAAGGACAAATATAAAAAATAAAATTTTTATAACTCTAAATTTAAAATAATTATTAGCTTTTCATTAAATGAAAGAGGGCTTGCAAGCCCTCCAAACTATGTGACACAAAAATGCATTGGGTTTTGTGTCTATTCTGTGTCTCGTCTGTGGTTATACCATGAGTCATAAAATGCTATTTAGCAATAGCATTTATAGAAATTCCAGGTAATACGCGTAAGATATCCAGACATTATTATATATATTATATGCGAAAAGTGAATCACATCTGTATGTGCGTTGAATCTGAAATATTCTATTCACTATGATTAGAAGAGATTTCTCTGTTGCATATTTTTGACTCCTATTTTATGTTCCTTCCTTACCGTATAATCTATCTTCTTATGATTGGTGCATTTTGACTAAAGAAATAATAATGTTGAGATTATTTAATCTTTTTAAATATGTATTGGAATAGTTTGTTTTTGTCATTAAATAATTAATTATACATCATGAATAGTTTACGTAATATTTCGGGTAAAAATAAATACCCTGTACATTGTTTTATAAATTTAATTATATTAATATGTAGTATAATAAGTTTCACTTATTTCGTGCTAATTATTATTATAAATTAATGCAACATAAAATCGTATTATTTTTACAAGTTCGAATATTTGATTCGAAACATGTCACTTACGCTCTCTAACAACTGAAGATTGAACTATGGTTACACAGGAACATTGAAGTATACTGCCGATTTGTGTAATCGAGCTTTGTTTTCTTGACCAACCTATATGACGTACATGTAAGCTGAATGGTATACGACACTGATTGTTTCGACGAGGAAAAGTTACAAATACTATAATATGCTGTGATTAAGAATATATTTACATTAAAACCTTGTACTAAAAGCCCAGGTTAACTCAAGAATGACTCAAACTAAAAGGTTAGTTTTAGTTGGTGTATGTGTGTAATGACACAACTCTTTCACCTCATATTTAACGTATGTAAGTGGTTGTTCTTCATTCTACTAATTCACATTTGTGTACAATATATAGAAAGAGAGGGCGTGATGCAGAAGATGAATCTAGTGAATTTATGCCATTAAGTAAAAGAATTAATAATCTTCGTATTAATGGTTTATCAGGCATGCAGGAAAATATAACTGAAAACATGGATACAGACTGCTGTAGTAGGAGCTTTATGCCATCGCCAAATTATTCTGAGCTTTCTCAAGGGTCACCACTGTATGATGGATGCAGTTCTAGCCAAAGTAGTTATACAACGGAATACAAACCTGATCTGGATGCAACTGAAAATCCTTTTTATTATGAAAGTAATAAGTTGCTTTTCTCATTGTATATGGAACGTATACAGAGAACATCTGATTCATTTTGATATCCTTATTTTCAAATTATAATTCCTAATCATTAAGCATTTCTGCATGTCATTTTTCATTCCTTTTCAATATGTGTTTATTAATGAAATCATTTAAAATCCTAAAAAGTATATTGAAGAAATTTTTAAAAACAAGAATGCCATTATTTATTATTGTAATATTAATTCAATTGTAACTTGTAATGCAATTGTATATATATAAAAAGAAAAGTGGATATTTAAAATCTTATATCAAATGACAGCTCAATTAGAAAGACATAGAATTAAAATTTATGTAATTACAATTAATAAGTTTATAATTTTAATATGATTATTGGTAATTTATATTTCATTAAAACATTATAGCATAATATACAAATATTATATTAAATTGCTACTTCTAAATAAGTGATTTGTCGTTGATCAATTATATTTTTATTGTAAACATTTATTAGATTGCAAAGTATTTTGAGACTGTGAAAGTATGGAATAATATTTATAATAAAAAAGACTAAAATGAAGAAAATACATCGAGCTTACTTCACTTATTTTTATTATCACTGTACCATATTACAGGTATATACTATATCTGAAAAATAAAATTAAAGGATCGAAAGGGATAATGACTTTATGTTATTGACGTATATTAAGCCATTCATATAAAGCGCGCAATAATATAAAAACATGGCGGTCATCGAAGTATCCTCGAAATATCGATTCTCGACCTAACCTCACTTCAGTCTCCGCTAGGTGCGCACGGAGTTAGTGTCGCTCTGTAGTGGTAGAAGAAACGAAGGTACTGAGAATAAGATAGAGCGACGGACAGGTGTTTTTTACTCTGTTATAAATATTTTCCGAAAGTTCGCGATTCTCGTAAAATTGTAAAGATTCTTGTAATACCTGTAAATAGAACGGTACCATAAGAGTTGACTGTTTAATCGGCAAGCGCGCACGCGCCGCTTTCCCCTCGCTCTCACAATATACTCCGCGCGTAACCGCCGCCATAGTTGATATTTCTCCGATAGAATATTAATAGCGGCGTAAGTTTTCGCGGTTAAACGTATTTTTATTTACTGACTGGAAAACAAGAATGCGTTCGACGAGGGCGGTGAGACGAGGTCATTCAAGATAAAGTTGGGATCCGTAGGAAGAAGGAGGGTGTCTACTTTCACAGCTCGTGGTTTTCAGGAGAGTGGCCTGGCAGCGCGGCGCTTCGAGTTAACGTGTGACCACCGTCGGGTGGCTATGTACCGTTAGCTCGAATTCATTCCCCGTTGGCCGGCCCAAGACCCACGCTTACCTACCAACCGGGGCCATACTCGATCGAACTCGACTGTCGTAAACCCGGAAATGAGTGCGCGTCGCGGCTCGCCTTTACAGCAGGAAGACTGCCAGTAGTGCGCGAATTTATCACGAGTCACGACTCATCGATCGGCAAAGACACGTTCATTTGGACGTACGTCTCGTATGACGTGTGCACCGTAAGCAGTAGCCGTGGCTAGCCAGAGGAGAGCCGTGGGCACGGCAAACGTGTACGTAGAAATGAGAAAGTTGCTGCTGCCGCGGTGAAGATTGAGAACGACGCAGGCGAGCCAGCCAGGCGGACGGTCTCTGTACTACGCGAAGCTTCCGACGCAGCGACAGTAGTAGCAGTACGCCGAAAGGAGTGCACAAGGGAGCCACAGCTGCTCGTGGGTAAGTAGGACACGCATTTTCCTCGTGGAAGATTGTCTTGTGCGTAGAGGGAACTCGCGTGCACCTATCGTTCGTACGTAAACTAGAGCGAGCGAACGGCCGAGCCGAAGGAACCCACAGACGGTGCCGCCCCGCGAATCTTTACGCGCTTTACTCCTAATGCGAAACGTTCACGAGAAACCGCGAAACGGTGGCCACAGAGCACCCACCCCAAGACACTAAAATCGTCGCGGGGCCCTCGTCGTGGCTCACGGCTTGGCTCGGGCTGGCTTTGGTGGGGTGGTTGGAGGTGCGGACAGTGGTTGAGAGGCTGGTGGGGTTGGAAATTGCGTGGTGGTGGGTGCCCGCCGAGGTCTCGGAGGCCCCTCCGTGGCATCTCGCTGCCTCTAACCCGTCGAGGTGGGGGTGTAAACAACAGCCCTGCCTGTGCCTCTGTTGGCTCTACTCTGTCCTCCGTTTCGCCTCTGCCCTGCTCTCGCCTCTGCCAACTCGCCCGATCTTTTTCCTACTTCCTCTCCACGTAACGTCTCCCGATGCGCGATCGAAAGAGCACCGAAGGGAGGGAGAGACGCAGGGCGAAAGGGAGAGAGGGAATAACCACCGAGAGAACAAAGCATTGGCTTTGCGGGACCTGTGCTATTTTCTCGCGTCACCGTGTACTCAATTCCATCATGGCCGATCTATCACCGAACGTGCTGACGTGTAACCTTGTCCACCCGTTTACCTAACCGTCGTCCGTCTGACGCGCTCGCCTTTGATGTTTACACAATCGCAGTGTTGTCCCAAATTTATCTGTTCACTATTAGGTGATCTCTTCACGATATCATCTATATAGGATTTCGATTTGTCCTATTCAGTTACGCCTCTGAGAAACGTTTTTTTATCCTCTACCGCGTGTAAAAAGCGTATCTGATTGCACAATGCCCCAGAGCCGTTCCATTCTACGTACGCTGCCCCCGTCGTAATATCAGAGCGAGCTGCGTATGTGTGCAGTTACGCGAGACACTAGAATTCCTCTAGAAACGGCGAACGCTCAGGCATGCTCTCTTCGATGCGTGTACACGAGAGAGATGGTCGTATAGTGTGAGAGAGACATGTTGAACCTTAAGAGAATCGGCGCCATTACGACATGCGCGTCTTGCAAAAGCGTCCAACAACGGTACGTCGGCGAGGCTGACCGGTCAGTCGCATACGCCATTCCGCGAAAGCCGAAAAACGCATCCGCGGTGCGTTCGTTTGATGCGTGTTCACGTTACGGTAGTTTTTCTACTAAAGCCGTGCAACCACCCGCAACGACTTGCTGGCACCAAGTAATCGTCCGTTCGACACGACACCCTTCTCGGTGTGTCGAAAGGAGGAGAGGTGCACGGGTAACCTAACCTCTTCTCTCTTTCTCTCTCTCCCTCGCCCGTTTTCTGCTCCTTCCCTACCCACGGGTGGATCAAGGGCGAGAGTCATCGGTGTGTCCCACTTCGTCTGCCGCGATGTCTGCTTCGTATGTTCTCTCCCGATATTTCGCGTTCCCCTCCCCTGGGAGTTCCCGGTATGTCGAGGTTCGTCTCCCTTCTTTCTTGACATACCCCTACCCGTTCGAGCTTGCGGCACACGCTTACGCACCTACACACCGAGCTATCGTTCCTTCCCGTCCTATTCTCGCGATATTCCGTGTTTTAGTGCGAGAGAAAGAGAGTCAGTCTCGGGCTCTATTTCGCGGTGGGTTCCCGTTTTCCCACCTATGGGTTCCCCCCTACCCTTGTCGAGTCTCCTACCCCCTACCCCCGTGGGGGCTCCATCATGGTGGAGTGGGGTGCAATCCTGGGCCACTTCGACGACTATCCTCCCTGCTCCCGGATCCCTTTTGGGGTGGGGGGAGGGGGTGAAGTGGGGGATCCCTCACCCCACCTCCACATACCAACACATGGTCAAGAGGTTTGAAGTTAAGACTTCTATGGCAGAGGTGGCGGGACGTTCGACTTTTAACTTCGTCACTTTCGCGAATACATGCTTTGGCTGCTGCCTAGCTGTTGCTATCAAATGCACCGTTTCAAACATTGTGAGAACGAGGGTGGTGGGGGTGAGCGCAGGTTTAACTACTGACGTTGTATCTTTAGAGTGAATACAAGGATGTTTACTTGTTCAATATACACGCCATTCGGCTCAATCTTGATCTTCATGCATTTATTATGGTACACGTGTATCATCGCGGTGTCAGAAGAATAGAGGAGCGTGCACCACCACGTGGGGGGGGGCTCTTTTCGGTGATCCTCGGTAAACTGTAGGAACGCATATACCGCAGAACTTTTTAACAGCAGTCGTATACAAGTTCTCCAACCACCTGTAGCGTATATTCAATACAGGAAACGTACATAGAAAATGGAATACAATGAGCTTCAATTTATTGATTTTGAATAACGCGTAAAATTAATTAAAAGAAAACTAACTGAATTCTATGTTTGCATAAAATGACGTATAATGTTCAGATTAATCGGTTTATATTAACTTGCAATTTGTTTTTCGTATTTAGCAAACATGACCGTGTTCAAACGTGATGTATTAACTTTACTTCGGGACGAATGTCTACTGAAGAAACGTTAAAGGATTAGAGAGTATCTGTGAATTCTATGAAAACACGGAATCTCTTTTGAAAACAGTTTGAAGTAACGAATGTCGATGCACTTCGACAGCAATACTCATGCATCAAAGTGAGTGGAACTGTGTAATATGAATATGTACATACGTATCTGTTCTCAACTGTTTGATACTCTCTTTGTTTCTTTTCGTAACAATTATAAACACGTTTCATTTCGAGAAGGTACAACTTAAAAATATACATATTATCAGCTTTGTAACATATTAACTGCTTTGTAGCAATTTAATGTAACTTTACGTTTGTGTATCGAGCTTGTTAATTAACTAGTATATAGGTGATACAACGTTTAGTTTGTTATTTTCTACTATTATTTCTGGTTTATTTGTAAAATGTGAACATTTACGTAGCTGAAAGATATTGTATTTCGTTTTAAACGTTTCTTGAGTTATTGAATGATGTTAATGTTGATAATAAATCAAATTTGGCGTTTACTTGAATACATGTTTATTAATTGTATTTTTTTTTGTTTTTTTTTTTGGATTTCAGATTTAATTATCGTGGAAAATGAATTTCACGCCTTTTCCCGGCTTTACGACAGGCTCGCTACCGACGGGCACGGTTCATCAGTTTGCGACCGCTAAATTCGCGCAGAACCTGCCTACCGGGGGTCAGGTGGTTGGCGTTTTATCCGGTGGCGAAGGTGGAGTTCATTATCTGAGGCCGGTCGATCCGAACGGATTCGCCGTGGCTCAAGGGGGTAACAATCAGCAGCAGCAAATCATCACGCTGCCCATCACTGTACCTGGAAAAGATGGCACACAGCAGCAGCAAACCGTCCAAATCCAGGTGGTCAACCCTAGCGTATCACAGAGCGGGAACAGCGGTGATCAACCAAAATATCATTTGGCCCCAATTTCTTTGGGACAATTTCCCCAGGGTGCAGCGACAGTTCTCACCGTTGCGTACAGTCAACAAGGTGCAGATGGAGTACAAATTCAAGTACAACCACAGAACACCGTGGCAACGACGCAAACGTAAGGACCGACATTTCATTTTGTTTGTAATAGTTGTCGCGGTGCAATGTTATTCAAATGTTTTCTTTATTTTAGGTCCGACCAAACGACCCAAAGTACATCGACAGCAGTCACTACCACATCTCAACAAACCATTCAGCAAACGGTTCAGCTTCCAGGTGCACCTGAAGGCTTAACTGTGGTTGCACAAATTCCGCAAGATTTAATTTTACGTGAAGGTATGGAAGAGTCGAAAGAAGATGTGAAAGAAGGTACAACGCCGGTAGCTCTCATCAAGAGAGGTAACATTAAGAATCAAGGGAATCAAAGTGGAGAGGAATACATTACATCTATGCCTGCTAGCTGGCAAAGTCTTGCAACTCCTGGATCAACTGTCGCTGATTATCTCTCTAGGTTACCCGCCAGTACCTTGCCCCTTAGTTTACAGCATTTTTTAAAATTTTCGGCAGAGACAATAAAGAGGGAAGCCACTATCGAATCGAGTCCACTAGGAGCTGATGGTTTAGATGCTTCTGGAAGCACTGCGTCGGGCGAACAAGCAGTGCAGATTACCGTAGCAGGTGGTGAAACCGCTATTATTCCTGATGTTGTCGAGGAACAAGAACCCGGTGCGAAGCCTAAGAGAAAGAAAAAGTACAAGAAAAAGCCTCCAAAGCCAAAAAAGCCAAAGCCAGGGCAAGTGAGCATAGTTACTGCTCTCGATGGTACAACATTGTTCTGTTGCCCACAATGTAACATGGCTTATCCTGAAAAAGAACTCTTGGAACAACATCTTATTGGGCATAAAATAGAGAGGAGGTTTATTTGTGACATTTGTGGTGCAGGTTTGAAACGTAAAGAACATTTAGAACGACACAAATTGGGCCACAATCCAGACAGACCTTTCATCTGTTCAGTTTGCATGAAAGGCTTCAAGCGAAAAGAGCACTTAAATCTTCATTTCGTTATACATTCTGGACAGAAAACCGAGGTTTGCACCGAATGTGGTAAAGCATTTTACCGCAAAGACCATTTAAGGAAGCATGCTAGGTCCCATTTGGCAAAACGCATCAAGGAAGATCCCTCGATCATTGCGGACACTTCTCAAAATTCGCAACAACAAACGGATCAACAACAGCAACAAGCAGAACAATTGCAGCAACAGGCAGACCAATTGCAGCAACAAGCAGACCAGTTACAACAACAGGCTGACCAATTGCAGCAACAATCATCGGTATCCGAATTGCAACAGATTCAGATACAAGTAGGCCAAGGATCTCAAGCACAGATTCATCAAATAGCCGTTAGTGAACAGTCCACGGTTGTTCTTCCAACTGCTGCAGAAACCGGTGCAATGGCTATGCTTCATCATCAACAGCAGCAGCAGCAACAGCAACAGCAGCAGCAACAACAACAACAACAACAACAACAGCAGCAGCAACAGCATTAGCAGCAGCATACCGCCCCGAATCAGCCTGGGCGGTACTTCCGATTTAATCATCAACAAGCTAGAGGTCGTGCAAGGCAAGGTGTTCTTGCTGATTGAATTCTATAATCTCATAGTCAAATTGGTATCGTGTAAAGAAAATTTCGTTGATGGTGGTTATCGTTGCCTAGTAGTGGTGTTGCAAAAATTGAGATCTTTCTGTTTCTTGAAATAAAGATACTTTTACTGACGAGCCGCCGCATTTCAAAGTTTGTACACCATCAGCTTCTTAAGGAAGTCGTAGGCCAGATTAATGTACGATTATAATTATTCTGCAAAACGCACTGAGCTGACTGACGAACGAAGTTCGTACATATGAAGTTTCATTTTAGCGTACACGTTATAGCGTACGTGTAAAAAAAGGAAAAGAAAACGAGTTTTCTCGTGTAATTCAAAATGTTTTTGTCGCTAATCCAGTTCCATGACGCAAGTTAGAAATACCAGACAGAAGGCAATCGAGTTTTCGGCTGAAGTTAATTTTCTTCGACGATAAATATAAAGAGAAAAAAAATACGTAATGTGGAAGGTAACGAAATAATACACAAAGCAGGGCTGTAAATACAACCAATTTACCGTGCACAAGAAGGAAAAAAAGACTGTCGTGCAAATACAAGGTAAATCCGTTTATTTATTTCACTTGTTCTCTACACGATCGAGACACAGAAAGAGAGTGTATCGTTAAAACCATTGATAGATAACTAATATTTTAAAGAAACGCTGCGTTTTGCGAAATACATGTAAAATTTTATATTTGTACCTACATATTGATTAGTTAACGTTAACGTTTATGAGAATGAGTATATTTTTTGGCTGTACTGACATAAATCAATCTAAACAAAATGTGGATTTCTAATTACAAAAGTTAATGAAACACTAATTGGATATAAGTCCATCGTTATTTCTAAATTAGTTTATTATATCGCAAAGTTAAGGTTATCATGAAATAAAACTGGCAATGAAGTCAATGTATTTAAATTTAATTTCTACAGCCACTAATACTTCTATAACTCTAATAAGTTAGTGTAACTTATTTTGTATAGTATTTAACTTGTTTTATTTACTAAACTGATAATTTTTATAAGAAGACTTTGCAATTCTCTTCTTTGTGTTGATCGTATTTGAAAGAATTTTTTGTATTATCATAAAGTGCACGACAAAAGTACAGCAAATAGTTGTTGGAAATGAACCATTTGATTTATTAATCAATCATGGTACACTCAAAATCATTTGAGTAAAAGATGTATGTATACAAAAAAAAATACTTTTTATTGTA